GAATTGATTGGTGAAATCTAATCCATGGCTTTTGTTTGTTTGTTTTCCATATTCTAATAAGTGAAAGACAATGCAAATTTGCTTTGATTTTTGGCTGGAGTGCCCAGGTTCCTTTGCTTTGAATCCTGACTGGGTTTTGGAAAAAAATCCAGAGCTTTAGGGGCTTGGGGGGGTTACCTGTTGGTTTTCATGGTTTGAGAAGTTGAAGAATGGTGGAAACAGGATTGCTTCTGCTTTTCTGTCTGTGAATCAGCATAAAATGGGAAGAGGAAGAAGACCTGATTGTTGACAGTCTTTCCTGCTCTTCATGGCAGCTCTGGACAGTGCCAGCACTCAACGGCAGAGTCATTCCCTGCGAGAAGAGGATGACTGCAGCAATTGCGTGGCACTTGGCAGTTTTGGGGACTCTGATAGCCAGAATGGGTTGTTATCTCGAGAACTGAAGGCCAGATGTGAGCTTGGCAGAATTTTTTTATCAAGTCCTATTTTAGGTAGTTACTTGTTAAATTCCAAAGGTCAATGGACATTTGCATTGCCTTTGGTGGTGGGGCAGCAAAGTGCGGATGGGGGAGTCTTAGCAGTGTGGCTTGTCGCACTTGAGTGGCCTTCCTTTGCTTAATTCTTCATGTTTGGTGTCTGAAAATATTGGGCAAACAGGATTGTGAAGAAGAAAGCTGGTGGCCTATGTGCAGAAAAAACGACCTGTTCATAAACATTAAATAATATTCATTCACTTTATATGGCAAATATTTATAAGCTAGTTTTAAATGGAAGAATGTGGGGTGATTAAAATCAGGAAGAATGGTTTATCCAGCCACTTGAGGTGCTGCAGGTACATACTGGGTGAATTGCAGCTGCCTCTGAGCAGTATTCGAAATCATTTTGGACGTGCTTCTATAGCTCATCCTTGCCGTGATGCGTCAGTGAATTGAGTTGACTTCGAGAGTGGGGAGGAGTGGATTCCCAACTGTGGGAAGGGGTAGGTTAAAGTCGAAGTGTCGTGTTTATATTTCAAGCTTAGTGTTCTGATCTGGTATTTGATCCAAACCCTAGCAGCAGCCTCCAGTCACATGGAAAGCCCAGAAAGCTTTTTTAAGGCATTGTGTTACACTTCAAGCTGAGTTTGTGTTTTCATGACTTAGCTGAAAGGTGGCTCTATAAAGATTTCGGTTTGGCCTTGAATGCAAGATTCCTTAAGGTACTTGAAAAATACTGTCTGCATGTTAGTTTAGTTACTTCTGCTACATGTTGGATTCAGCCTTTGGTTCTTGCAATATCCAGAGGATACTGAGCATCTCATTTGTAAGGAGGCTTTTGGAGGTAGGAAACCAGATTTGTCCTGTACAAAACCCCCTGGATTTAGAGAAGTTCTTAACCTACAAGCTGCATTTTTTGAGAGTGATCACAGCATGGAAAAGCTGTTCCATTTTAACAGTGGAGAGTTACTCTGTCCCCCTGACTATGTAAGGGGGGGCTTGAAAGGAGCCACTGCGTTTTGAACTTAGTTCTTGTTTGAGAGCTGCTTCAGATCCTGGAGTTATGCCCGCGTAGCTGAGTTTTCCCAGGGCGCTGCGTGAATGCTAAGCTGTGTTGTAATGAATTTCGAGTGGGCAGCAGCATAAGCCTGCTCTCTTTTCCCTGGAAGACGCTGCTGCATTGTCTTGTCTGTATCCTGAAAGCCTCAGTGTTGTTTGTCAAAGGCTTGATTCTGCAAGTGCCACGTATGCAAAGAAGCCCGTGAATAGGAAGGACTTGCCGTGCTGGTTCTCACATAATGCCCAGAGCCGGGACAACCGGCAACAGGCTGAAGCAAAGCAGTTTTTGTTAAACTCTTGGTATTCCATGGGCATCCGCTCTCCCACACGTGAGATGTTTAAAATTCTCTAGTTATGTTCTGATAATGCCTAGGAGTTGATTTCTGCCAGGCATATGCATGTGTTTAGATAGGTTCGAGTTTCTATGCCATAAATAGAGGGAATGGGCGAAAGTTGGCAGAAGTGAAGTAATTTACTTATGGCCACGTGTGTGCTGGTGGCAGGTTTGGAAGCTGTCTGCATCTCCCAAATCTCAGACTAGTATTTTAGCCATGAACCACCTTGTTTGCAGAGTGTGTATATATGTGCTTTTATCTCCTTCTCTTGTCCCTCATGTATACAAGGGAAGACAAGTGATGTAACTGTGTACAAAAACTGGGATATGGATGTTGGAGCTTGGTATTGCACGCTGGCATTAGCATCTGATGTAGGTGTTCATGCAGTGCAGTTAGCAGATCAAAAATCCATGCTGATAGCGTTAGGAATGATGGTAGACATGGGGCGTGAGTAAACATGAACTATCAGCTATCATAAACTTAACCAAGGCGGGCAAGGGATGGTAGACTTGGAAGAGGTCAGCTTGCTCCGGCTGGGTGGGTTTGGGAAGGAAGAGTT